ATGAACAGAGAGATCGTGACTTGAGCCAAAATCAGGAGTCAGACACTTAACTGACTAAACTATCCAGGCATCCCATTACACAAATCTATTTAGAAAATAAACATTTGTTGGGTAACTGGTGAAAATACTCCCAAGTCTTTAAGCAATGTATGTACATGACATTGTCTGACATAAATAAAAACACATTTTAAAAAGAATGGCTGGTGTTTTAAAGCAAAAGAGTTTTTAGTCCTTACAAAGAATTTTTGACATTATAATTAAAGACAGACTTCACAGAAAAAAAATTTAAGGCTATCCAAGGAGGGAGGCACTGTGTCCAATTGTTTGGGGAATTGACAACAGTATGGAAAGATATTATTTTCCTTCCCTGTTATCTGTGGTATGTATTTTCAGGCAAAAGTCTTTACAAAGGCTATTTTTTTTCTTACAAAGGAAAGGGAACAGACTCTTCCACCTTAGATATGCCACTTTGGCATACTGATTATCTTGAATTAAAGGTACTTGAGAAACAGCGAATACTAGATGGACGATCTGACCATCCTTTATCCCACTGAAAGCAGGAAATAAATCTCCCCTGTGAAAAGTAGCCTCCTTCTATCAGGAGTGTAGAAGGTATCCCTATCACCAGAAGTAGGGAATTTAGGGCTGGAAAAATCTACGTAAACAGCCCCTGTTACTTCTTCACTAATTCACTACCCCAATCGCACATCCTTTTGTCTTACCAATTCTTCACAAATTTAGAAAAGGTTCCTGCTTTGGTCACTTCTTTGAATCTCATACTTTTATGGGGCTCCAGAAATTAAATTTGTTTTTCTCCTGTTGATCTGTCTTATGTCAATCTAATTATTAGGCCAGCCAAAGAACCTAGAAATGAGGAAGGGAAAATTTTCCACCTCTTCAGAGATAACCTGGAACACTCACATCAGGGTTTTCTAGAGAAATCATTGCAATTCCCTCAAATCCACAGAGCAGGTGGTGTATTTGCATAGGGATGGCAAGAAGGAATTAGAGGAAGGGAAAGGGGGAATGCTTCCCCACCTAATTCCTTCAGTATTAAACTTTGGCTTCATACATGGACAGAATTCCTAAGGAGGCCTGAGCTTCCCTCTTTGATACCAAATTCAGGCAACTTGAAATCCTTACCAATGCTCTGAGGAAAAGGAAAATCTATGGTGGCAGTAGTGTCCCCTGGGCCTCCATCCTGCTGGCCACAGACAAGAGCAACCCTCCCTGATGACTGGTCTGTCGGAGGCCTTACACACCTACGAACACCCTGGAGTGATTTGGGGTGGCATATTGGAAAACGAGAGGCATTCAGTATTAGTTGAGGAGCAAATACCACTAATTACAATTATTTCATTACCAGTTGGGGAGCAATAGGTGGGAAGACTATAGGGTGACCAACTCATCCTGGTTTGCCTGGGACGGTCCCAGTTTCAGAATGGAAAATCCCAGGCTGCAGAACTCCCTGAATATGGGGCACACTGGATGGCTGGTCACCCTAGAAGACCGGGAAATTTAGGTTCTTATTTGCAGTGGACAAAAACATCCTCAAAGTTAATATCAAGAAGGCACAAAACACATAAATGTTAATACAAAGAAATTTATATTACTAAAACCTGGAGGGGTCACATTGCTGTTGCTTTCCCTTAGTAAATGAAAACAGAAGCACAATGACTCCCACCCCCGAGTCCTCATCCTAGATCACTGTTCAGCTGGGGGGCGCTGCGCCAAGGACAGTCATGCAGGACCCTGGTCCAGCCTGGAGCCCGAAGCCCAGGGCTACTCCCCCAGCACTGGCCTGGGGGCTTCGACAGGCTCTCTTTCCACCTAGCTCCTTGGGCCCTGCTTTTTGCTTATTTTTACAGCTGTGTTAAATGGAGAGTGGGGGATAATGAGTGGGTGTAGATAGGAGGAAACAATACTATTGGCCACGACAATGAAAGATGAACATACAAATAGTCTGTTTTAAGAATGCTAATTTTGGGGGTGTGTGGGTGGCTCAGTCGGTTAAGCATCCGACTCTTGATTTCACTCAGGTTATGATCTCATGGTTGTGAGATCCAGTTCTGTGTCGGGCTCCATCCTGAGCGAATGTGGAGCCTGCTTGGGATTCTCTGTCTTCCTCTCTCTCTATCCCTCTCCTGCTCTCTCTTTCAGAATAAATAGATAAACATTACCTAAAAAAAAAAAAAAAAAAGAATGCTAATTTTTAATGATCCATAATTTTTTCTTGCGGTTTGAGTTTGAATGACTTTGATGGAATGGAGGGGTGGGGGAGATGAAGAGATTTTTCTCAAAAATTCCCTACTCTCCTTGGCTTCTTTTTAAATACTTCAAATGCAGAATTTTAGGGTTAATATGTTCCCAGATTGCATTTACTGGTGTGTGTGTGTGTGTGTGTGTGTGTGTGTGTGTGTGTACATCCAGTTACACTCGCTGGCATTTCAAAATTTTCTATAAACTAACTTCTCAATATTTAAAATCAGAATTTTAGAAAAGTTTCTTTGGTTAATAACTCAAATATTTATTTTGCTTTAAGATCACACTAAATTAAATGAGGACCAAAACTGTAAATCAGTACTTCTGCCAGAAATTCCCTTTTTTCTGACCAACCCGTACACTATTTCTGGGTCCCAACAAACACTTAAGCCATAAGGAGAAATCACATGGAAGCAAATTCTAATTTGGTTACCGTTATATATAAATAGATGATAACGAATCTTTTACCACAGTTTCCAGATTGTCAGTCCTCCGAATTTGCTGAAGTAAAACATTATGATAATTTTTTTTAAAAAAGCTATGAAGTAATAAGATACTAGAAGGTTGTGATAACAACTCTACAATCCTCTTAATACCAAAGAACAAAGAGTTTAACAAAAGTAGAACACTAAATTCTGCTCAATATTTTGAAACTCACTTCAAGATGCTCAATCTATTCAGTTAAGTGTGGGGGTTTAAATACACACGAAATGTAGAAATCTATTGCAGAGAAGTAATAAGGAACATGTAGTATTTTACACGCAGGTACTTCATTACACAGAATGAATGGCTAAAATCAAATCTTTTACCTCAAGCACACATACAGACTTTTATTTTCAAAGGGATCTGTGGTGGGCGGGGGTAGGGTGGCTCCTGAAATCCCCATACATCTGGGTAAGTCCCAACACAGTTTGTACCGAATATATCCAGTAGCAGCTCCACGGAATACAGGTGTGGCCCACAGGAGAGCAGGTTACGGCCCTGTTAGGAGCTGCCCCGTCACCTGGGCCAAGCCCTTCAGTGGGAGAATAATCCAGGTAGTGAAGAGTGGGGGGTGGAGGGGGGTGCAAAGCAGGTGAGGAGAGCTCCTGACCAATCCCAGCAGAGATTTCCAGCACAACTCCAAGTGTGCCCTCATGCCCTCAGTGTGAGCCTGCGACACCAGGTTTCAAGTTCCACCCTGACATCTGCCAGCTATGTGATGGACCTGAGGAAGATGTGTTATTTGTCTTCCCAGGCCATTCCTCTGCTGTAAAGTGGCCCGTCCACTCTCCCAGCAGTTCCATTACAATTACATTAAGCACGAGAAAGTATTTTGAAAATGAGACAGTTCTCAGTGAAAACAGGCATACTGCGTCTGACCCTTTGCTGAAGACGAGTTCTTAGCTTCTGACCTTCAGACCCCCAAACCAGGTGTCTATTTAATATTTAAATACTCAACACCTACACATGCAACATTTACCCTTTACAGTGTAGTCATATAGCGGAAACAGAAAGTATCACCAAAGATCACACCATGATTACGAAGTCTTTGCCCACCTGGGACTCTGCATCTTTCCTAAGAGAGAAAGACCTGTCGGACCTACACAGAGTCATTTCAAGCATCTGGCAGCGTTTAGCACCATATGCTTTCTACAGCAATAAGACCATTCAAGGGCAGCCTACTTTAGGGAATGAGCCAACGTATGAAAGGCTCCTTGTCCTGACACAAGTACAGAGGCCACGGACGGACACTACTTACACACTCAGTGTGTACCGGATGTGCAGCGAACAGCAGAGCGGCCAACAGGGAGGATCTGGGGGCCAGGTTCAACCGCCGGCCTCTACTGCTGTACTGCAGGCCGCCAAACAGCACGGAGAAGACGTCCACCATGAGGACAGAGATGCCGCCGTGCAGGAGGATGTTGACCACGTGGAAACTCATGGGGTAGAAGCCTCCGGACAAATAGTAGTTAATCCTGTAGTGAGCGAAAGGGGTTCATACCAGGTGCGCAGAAGTGTGCAAAATAGAATGCAAAGCATCTGAAGGAAGAAGGCTGGTGACTGACAGTGTTAAAGGGAGGAGATGTAGAAAGGGCAAGAACATAACTACTGGGGGAAAAAGAGCAGGTAAGAGCATGTCAGACAAGTTGGCAGAAAACACGTGGAGAGGAAAAGCAGAAGGAAAGCTAAACAATTTCTTAAGCCCTAAAAAGGCAAGATTGCCTCCCAAGATGATATGACACAGCACACCTTACTCTTGGCTACCCCACAGGGACCTGGATTGAAGACAGTCACGTAACTTGCTTATCCAAAAAACAAAAAGTACTCCTTGGTAGTTCGTCCACCAGCTTTCCGTCCAACAAAACACATTCTCATCCGTCCAACAAAACACATTCTCATCCGTCCAACAAAACACATTTCTGACTGCTTTTCAGTTACCAGCAGTTCTAATTCATCATTTCTGTGCTTCTGAGAGATCTGTACATAAGTACTGAATGCACCTGAAACAGCTATGAATGGGAACTTTGGGGAGGTGAACACATCTATTCAATGCAGATGGGGAGGTGGGGGAGGGTGCTTTTAGCTTTATTTTGTATTTGCATATTGACTTGGTAACAGCAGGAAGATTTTTACCTTGTTATTATCATTTTTACAGTGGAAAAAAAACCCACAATTTCCTTAGACGCCACGTGTTGCCTTGATTCACATGGTTTCTCCAGTGGCAACCAGCAAAGGTCCAATCTCCAACAAACATGCAAAATGTGGAACGTTCCGCTAATTTGCACATCACCCTCGCACAGGGGCCACGTTCATCTTCCCTGCATCCTTCCACTTTTAGGATCTGTCCTAGACAAGCGAGCCCTGGAGTCGTAGTTCCTCAGGCTCGTCCTCCCCATGTTGCTGGGACCTACCCCTAACAGCTGGAATTAGCATGTACTCCTCGGAGACCCATATGAGTGAGTGGTCTGTTCTTCCCCAGGATCCACCGGCTCCACTCGCCCACACCAGGAGCCTTGTCACACAGAACCTGGCACAGTATCCTATGCAGCCCGCGCTGTCATACCTCACCTGAAAGTCAGGACGGTCAGAGGGCGGTAGGACTTGTGGCTGGTGTTGCTGCTCAGCCTACTGCCCCAGAAGTCATGATGCCACAGGTCCCCAAGGGGCGTTTCCGCTCGGAGGTCCTGCAGGGACACAGTAGAGGGCATTCAGGACAAAGGTGTCATGACTCCCTCTCACCCCATGTTTAAGCCCTCACCAGGAGCTCTTCCTTAGAGCTGCTCATTCCCTTTTGGTCCATCTCTCCCATTAGCCCTGAGCCAAGCCACTGCCACCTCTCACCAAGGATACGGTCAGGCCTCCCTCCAGCACATTCTCCCAGCTAATCTCTCCAACCTGCAAATTGGGTCACCCATCCAACCTTGCTTAAAACACCCAGATGGCTCCCCCCGCCCCCAGGACAAAGCCGACGTCCTGATGTGGGTACCGCAGCCCAGGGTGCTCTGGCTCCCGCCGAGCTCTGCCTGCTCATCTCGTGGACTCTGACCTTTGTCCTGTCCCCACACAGCACCTGCTGCCACCCTTCCCCAAGGATGTGCACACGTAGGTGTCCACCAGACAGTTACCCCTCAGCTCCTCACAGCCCAGCATCTCCTGCCGTTCACGTTCGGCCAGCAGGCTATGACCTTCCTCAGCTGATGCAATTCTCCTTCCATGGGCCTCAGGGCATCTCACACCTGTCCTCACAGTGCCTGGCACCCTGGCGGTTTATCATCTCTAACTACCATCTGTCTGCCCCACTGGACTGGGGGTGAGGCCCCGGGGCCACATTATGTGGGTGGGGAGTATACAGAAAGTGCTTAATCCATGTTGAATAAACTAATGCCTCTTTCATATTCAATACAGAAGGCAATTTTCCTAAAACATCTCAGTTAAAATTTGACTGGATAAGCATATATTGTCTATTTTTGAATCCTAGCTAAACAGGAAGAAAAATGAAAAAAAAAAAAACAACTTCCATCTAATTTTTAAAGATAAAAATCACTAATTATTAAAAAATGACATCTATTTTACTATTAAGGTAATTTAATTTGGTCCTGTGCTACAGAAGCTTAAAAATGCATATTTAAAAAATATACATTCATTTATTTTGGGGAGCACACAAGCAGGGAAGGGGCAGAGTGAGGAAGACAGAGGATCCAAAGCGGGCTCTGCACTGACAGGTTGACAGCAGCAAGCCCGACGTGGGGCTTGAACTCATGAACTGTGAGATCACGACCTGAGCCCAAATCAGACACTCAACCAACTGAGCCACCCAGGTGCCCTGAAAAATGCATCTTTTTAAAAAACATTTAAATGTAGAACTAGATTGTTTAAACTGTGTCTGACAAGAAGAGAGGCAGAGAAGGCATTGCAGAATAAGCAATAAAAGCAAATACTAATTTTCTCTTCCAAGCATAACAAACAGGAATATTTTAGGGACTAGAAATTATGACATGCTAAGCACCACTAAGTGTATCAGTCCAGACTCTTCCCTGCGGTGACCAGATTAGCACTGATTAACATAAGCAAAAAAGAATGCTTTAAAGGAGACTGCAAGGCTCACGGACACCCAGGGGGGCTCCCAGGTTTGGGGCTCTGCAGCCAGAAGCACGCCCACAAATCACACCGCTAGACACTTTGCGGGGGAGAGGGGGCTGCCTGGCTGCCTCCAGACCTCGGCCTCTTGTGTGATTAGCTCCTGACTCCAGTAGGTGGGTGCACCTGAGAAGAGACCCTCTGCCCACGTCTGCATCCAACCTGGACAGTCCCTGCAGCTTCTAACAACCAAGGTGGGGAAAGTCTCAAGCAGAAATGTGTCAAATCATGGCTGGGACAAAGAAGCAAGCAGTGTCCATGGCACACGGGGACTTCAGTAAGTACTCACTACTTAAGTGCTTACTGATCAAAGGGAAAGGGCTTGAAGATGTGCGACAGAGGCAAAGTTGGTCACCTGATATCCACTTTGTGGGTGAATTTCACTTCATTGGGTATTGGCTTCAGAGACCTTGAGCATACTGACCCCTCTTCTAACAGTCAGTCCGGTATTTCATGAAGGTCTTGCAAACTACCCACAAGTCTGGTTTACTCAGTGACAAAATTGGAAGCCCATCTTCTTCTGCACTGTCCCAGAAGTACCTGCTCACTTGTGAAGGAGCTGGGCGGAGGATCTTTCCCTCCATTTGAGCAGAAAATGAACACCAACAAAGCTCTAAATATTTGATTAGGTGTAGCCTACACACAGCAGGGCGCGCTGCAGGAAGAAAGGTCCATTTCTCTTCACAATGATTTATGGAAAAGACGGGTGTCTGAAATTCCTGCTAACTCCACTGTCTCAAAGAAAACCATCATCTCAATGAAAAAAGGCAACTCAACACTACAAGGAAGCATCTGGAAAACAGTCTTTAACACCAATAAAACCCAGGAACAGCCTGTTTCACATTACTGTGGGCACAGCGCCAATGAACAGAGCGGAGCCTTTCATTAAACAGGAAAGGAAAAAAGGAGGGCTAGCAAGTTAACAAAGGAGCACAGTGTGATGCTCTAGAAAACACTGCCAAGACAATGTGCAGCAGGGCCACAAAATGGCTTCATCGGCCTTACCCCACACGGAGGGAAGAATTATAACCATGTCCCAGGCCATCCCGCATACAACAGGGCTTGCGCTTTCCCCTGCCTTGTTCATCAAAGTGCTTCCATGTAAGGTTTTTTTCTTTTTAATTTTTAAATGTTATTTACTTTTTAATTTTTTAATGTTTATTTTTGAGACAGAGAGTGCGCGTGAGCAAGAGCGGGGGAGGGGCACAGAGAAGGAGACAGAGGATCCAAAGTGGGCTCTGCACTGACAGCAGGAAGCCCGATGTGGGGCTCGAACTCACGAACCATGAGATCATGACCCAAGCTGAAGTCAGACATTTAACTGACAAGTCACCAAGGTGCCCCCTTCGATATAATGATCTAAGTGAACACTTTATGTATCTTCCACTTTGTAAAAGTGGAAGAGTGAAGAAACTCTTAATGAAATGAAGAACGGGCTTTAAAAATTAAGTCATGTTCTCCTTTCCTTGTTAGCAAAGCAATCCTGCAGCTATAAAACCACCGACGGGATGTAGTTGCTAGGAGCTACTACTTTTTTCTTTTAAGCGTGGTTTAAAAAGAAACAAACATCTACAGTAACTACTGGGTGAACTTGAGGAAACTTATAAGTGAAGAACCTGAATTAAAAACAAACATCGGGGCACCAGGGTGGCTCAGTGGGTCTGGCATCTGACTCTTGATTTCGGCTCAGGTCATGATTTCACGGTTTGTGAGCTCAAGCCCCGCGTTGGGCTCTGTGCTGACAGGGCAGAGCCTGCTTGGGGTTCTTTGTCCCCCCCCCTCTGCCCCTCCCCCACTCATGCTTGCTCATGTACATGCTCTCTCTCTCTCTCTCTCAAAATAAATAAAATTAAAAAAAAAACTAAACATCAAGGTTGGTTGATAGTCTGCATCATAAAATAGAGAAAATCAGTACATACAAGATGTTACAAATAAAAAACTTACAAAAGTCACCCCCCCTTCCAACCTCACTGTCACCATCACACATACATGTTGGTCACAGAGAATTTTTCTCAACATTTTCAATATGAAAATGAGGTTTTGCTCATTTGGGAGAATCCATGACTTCAAAATTTCAACAACAGCGTTACCAAGTTGCTACAACTGCACCGCCTGGAGAGAAATATATTAGGCTATTCCTTTGGGCTGTCTTCACTGGTGCAGACACACACACACGAAATAACTGCTGAATAACTGAGAGGTCACAAATCTGTGCCATTTCCGCATTTCTTCTCCTGGGCTCTCCCTGCCTCCAAGGCTCTTGTCTGATTTTCTTTTAGTTCCCTTGAATCTTTTTCTTTCCTTTCTCCAAACCTATTTCTTTCTCCCTCTCTCTAGCTAGTGAAAGACAGGCATTTTCCCTGCACTGATATAGCACCCACTGGAGAGCAAAACTGGCTGGGATTTTGCAAACTCAGCAAATTTGAGTCTCCAAACACAAAATGGGCAGAAACTGCAGCTTCCACCGACAGCACACTCCTCATTCTCCAGCGCCTGCCAGCAGGCTGTCCTGATGCTATCAGCAAAGGACAAAGAAGAAGCCAACTCCCTTCCTGCTGCTGCGAACGGACGCAGACGGACGCACCTCTTGGCAGGTGATCAGACTCGTCCATCACTGCAGCAAGTGCATGTTGGGGTGGGGGGAGGGGGAAAACAGCTGTGGCCTAGGATTCTAGAAATCTGTCATAAAACCTGAAATACTTAGTCTGCAATGCCCTTCCTTGCCTTGTAAACTGAGAGTAATGGTCTCTCTGATGTGTGTGTAGACTGGGACCTCGGATGGGGTACGTGGTGAGGGTAAAGCCTGAGGTCAGGCAGGGGCTGGAGACCGTAAACAATAAACAATAAAAGAGGCCCTCAATCACAAAGATGCTACCTAAAAGAGATGGGAAATCTACAACACAATTGGGGCCCAGGCAAATGCTTAACCAAGGTCAAATAGAGAATTATCCAACACGAACTTAGATTACTAATGAGAAACAGGCAAATGATTAACACAAGTTTACCAAAAAGGGGTTACCATACAAACCTTATTGTTAATGATAGCTTCAGAGTCATCAAAGACAAAATCTCCATCGTAGCTGCGTGCGAAACATACAAGGGAAACAAATCCCACTACTAACTTAGCCCAGAAAGGGGCAAGCACAGAAGAGGGGATGATGTGACCCAAATCAGCATCCAACTCGGCCATTTTGAAAACTGCTGGCTGCCAGCCTCTTGCTCC